GAATCACTGAGAAGTCACCACACAGTCAGGTGGAGACACAGGGCAGGCTCCCATCATACGCAGCTCAGGGCTGGAGCTCACAGCAGGGAAGCAGCAAGAGCAGGGCTGCCCCATGGGGTGGTATGGGCTGGGGGGGAAACCCCAGCACAGGCAGGGCTCTTACCAACAGCACACACTCCTACAGAGTCCACAGTCCTGCCTGAACCAGGCAGGAGCAAGTGCAGGGTCCAYCAACAGCTGCAGAAACTGCAAAGGGAGTGAGCAGGTAACAGAGCTGGAGACATGCAGAACCTCACTGCAGCCCAGGGCAAAACTAAGTACCAAGAGCAGAGCCTTAAATAGGGCCCATAAGCTAAGGGGTGGGTGGATGGGGGTCTCAGGTGAGGCTGCTCAGGGCAATTAAAGCTTATGAGGGTCCCCATAGTCCAGCAGGATACTGCAARCTCCTGTTCTGATCTGTGCTGTGACTGGTGTCAGGAACATGTGCCCTGTAGTGGCCTTGCTCCTAGGTCCTGTTGGCGTCCCCAGGCACATAAGCAAGTGGCCACCGCCCCAGCAAACTAGCAGCCCCCTGCGGCTGGCTTGTCCTGCAGCTTTCCCCAGTCGGCTCTGCTCCATGCAAGCCATGCTCCCCGCTCTCCTGCCCATGGGCTTCCTACCTGGGGGGAAGACATCCAGATGTGCTGCCATCCAGGGGAGAGGTTGGGCTGGAAGGAAAAAGTGGAAGTTGCACCGTGTTTGCCTCCTCTGATGATTTCTCCACTGTGTTAATGGACTGTGTTTGCTCTTAAGGAATGCTGGGACTTGAGGATGTCAGAGGGGATGCAGCCTGCGGGGCAGCCTCCCCATGCTCATGATGGTGTAGGAGGCCACCAGCAGCATGGTGGCATATTAAGCATCCAATGTGGCAGGTGACCTGGTGTCCTTTTGCAGGTACAATGTGTTCCCATGTCTCCTGTGACCACATGAACCCCTGTGGTGATAACCACAGGGATTCCTCCAAGGCCAGCACAAATGGGGCTTCCATGAGGTTCCGTCTTGCATGGTACAAGTGGGACGCCAGGCTTGCTTGTCCCTAGCCACCTTCTTTACACTTTCTGCACCCCTTTAATCTCATCCTTGTCCACATCCCCATTATTTGTTCAATACCGCCTGGGCATGAGGGCCTGGGCACGGGGAGACAATGCGCAGCGCCAGCTGAGGGGGCTGCCTGTAGAGCCACCATAGCAGGCTCTGGCTGTTGAATCCTGCTCCTGGCTTCCAGCCGGGCCCGGGGGAGTATAAATATTTAAGCRTTGTAGCCGAGGCCTGTCAGTTTGCATTTGCTTCTGGCAGGGTAACTGCTGGGAGGGGAGGAGGAAGGGTGGGAAGAAGGACAAGGAGGGAGGAGGAAGCTCTGTCCTGAGAGGCGCATCCTTGGGGAGGGAGGTTCTGGTGCCAGACCTGGTCCCCAGCACTAAAGGGTCTCCATCTCCTCCTAGGATGCTCTTGCATCCGGGAGCAGCCAAGCAACACAGTTCAGTGGATGATTTTCAGCTCTTTTCAGGTACCTCCACAGCAGAGCACCATCTACTGAGCTAGCCCCAGGGAGGGGATTAAACCTCCCCACGGCCCTCGGGGGGTCCCTGCAGAGGATGCAGACTGCAGGCAGCAGGGAAATGCATGGGCTGCAAGAGGAAAGCGTGGGGAACRAAGGGGGAGGGCTTGGATGTCCCCGGCGAAGCCTCAGAGCCCGTAGGGACGTGACGCCTCGGCGGCTGCATCCCCCTCTAACAGATGGGGGCCAGAAATAAATCCAATCAGCTAATGGACTGCGGGGCACTAAATCAGCGGCGGGGAGACGAGGAGGCGGCCCCGCGCGGTGCTGCCGGCAGCGTCTCCCCAGGGACACGGCCGCGCAGCACCCGCAGGAACCGAAGCCCGTGGAGAGAGCGGCGCCTCGTGATTAATGGGACAGCCAGYGGTGCCGTAGGGAGCCAGGGACCCCGCTGGGAGCAGGCGCGGATCCGGATATCCTYCTGGCACCCCGCTGGCCTGCTGGGAAAGGGCAGAGCGAGCCCCAGCCCGGAGGCCACCCAGACGGGCAGGTAGAAGATCCCGGCATGTTTGGTAGCTGGAGGCCCCAGGCTAAGAGCATGCAAAGACAGGGTGCTTTTCGGCGGGGATTGCCCTCCTCCAGAGATGCATTTTTTCTGTCCGAACTTGCTGTAAGGACAAGCAGGGGCTGTTCGTGCAACACATCCTGCGGGCGCCCGTGTTTGGCAGCATCCGGAGTCCGACGGAGTTAATGAACCAGCACTACCCAACAGCTCGGGCTGCGGGGGGAGAGGGCTCTGCCCTGCCCGTGCCCGTGCCCCTGCAAGGCGGCAGCGGACAAGCCCCGCGCGCTCGGGTGCACACCGAGACGTGGGGACTGCCTCGCCCTGTGCAGAGTSCCCTGGGCCATCAGTGGGGCAGGACAGGGGGGCCGCACCGGCTCCCTAAGGCAGCTGGGGCGGCTGCAGCGCCGGCGGGGCGAGAAGGACACGCAGGAGACAAGCGTGCATCCAAAATGGCAGCCGGGCCTTCCCGCCCGCCTCCTCCTCCTCCCCCTGCCCCACTGCACTGTGGTGTTTGTAGTTCCCGGCCCCGCTGCACGTGGGCAGAGACTACATTTCCCGGGAGCCCCCGCCACGCTCCCGCCTCCTGCCCGTCCTGCTCCTGCGGCTCGGGCAGCGGCAGCGCCAGCCCCGCCGCCCCCATGCGCGCCGCATGCCCAGGTAAATGCCGTGGTGAGCGCTGCCCGCCCCCGCGGTGCCTGGGTGCGTGGGTGCCCTTGCAATGGGGCGCCCCGGGTGCACGCGGTGCCCTYGCAGTGGGATGCCCGCGCCGTGGGGCGCCCGGCTGCATGGGGTGTCCGTGCCGTGGGGTGCCGGGATGCGTGGGGTGCCCCRGGTGCCGCCGCGCGTGGGCCACCAGATCTGCGGGGTGCCACGTGCACAGCGTGCCGGTGATGTCGGGTGCCACATGCCTGGGGTGCCCCGGGCATCTAAGGTGGGAGGTTCCTGGTGTGCTGGGTGCACCTCGGGTGGTTGGGAGATGGGGTGCCCAGGAGCCTCGTGGTAAGGAAGGTCTGGGTTCCTAGGGTGCAGGGTGCCCAGGAYGCTTGGGTTGTTTTGCCAAGAGTGCAGCGTGCTGGAGGTGTGGAGTGCGTGGGGTTCCTGTGGCTGCTTCTCTCCACACCATGTGGACTATGTCCTCCCTTGCTGTCATTGCTGTTGTGCCACCTTCTCTCCTGCTTGCCACCAGTGTCGTGGTTGTGGCCATGAGGCCCTGCAAGGACCCCTGTAGTTCTTGTGTATCTATCTGTGAGGAGAGCATCCCACATAGGCCACCCTGGGGCCACCCTTTTGGGTCTGTCCTGTGGCCCCTTTCCCACATGTGGTGGCTGTGGCTCCTGGAGAAGGAGGGCCTGAGCTGAGCCACCCCATCCCCTGTGATCCCCTGGGCACTGCCTGCACTGGCCAGCACTTGCTTCACGTGACTCGGTCCCGTGGCAGGTTCACATGGCAGCAGCCTGGCCCACGAGCCCAGCTCATGTGCGGACAGTCTCCCAGGACTGTGCTCCCTCTTCCCAGTCTTGCTTGCACCTGCAAAGCTATGTCACTTCTTTGGGTGCCTCCAGGGGACATGTGGCTTGAATGGTACCTCTCTCCAGCCAGGGGAGAGGGGACGCTTCCCGAACCACTGGTGGGATTTTCATTTCTCTAAGCAAGGAGGAGCTACTTAAAATTCAGTTCCTTAAAATTCAGTTCCGTTCCTTAAAATTCAGTCCATCATCCCCTCACCTTCCTTGCCAGGAAATGTTGTCATTCCCAGCCTCCCTGAGTGCTGTGTGCAAGATTTCTGGGATGCTCTGCGAGCGTGGAGGCTCAGAAGAGGCAATATCAGGGGCAAAGGTGTGGGTGTCCGGCACGTAGGTGTCCTTGGGGGCAACAGCTCCATCTCTCCATCRTCTACATTCTTGTGCTAGTGGTCATGGCTTGAGCCATGGCAGAAGTGGGAGGCTGGCCAAGCTGGGGGTGCCTGCCCTCTACACCGAGGCGCAGCCGCCAGCCGGTGGGTCTCAGCCTGCCTGGGCGATGCTTCAGGGGTGACGCACCGGGCGCACGGCCRAGGAGCTGGCGTTGCTCTTGGGGAGCGCCTCGCTCCTGCTCCTGGGGCTGCTCCCTGGCTCTCCCTCCTGCCCTTGAGCTGGTACAGGGGGTATGTAGCACCTGCACGGGCGGCAGGAGCAGTTTAACTTGCAGCTGGAGAGCTGCTGTGCTCCATGGGGGTGGTGACAGCGGGGTAGCCCTCATCTTGACAGCTGCCACAGAGCTGCAACCTGCTTTGGCCTTAAACCAGGTGGAAACTTGTTTGTTTGGGCAAGCACAAGCAGGTGCCATCTTCTGGGTGAAGATCTACTCTCAACTGGAAGCAGAGAGCGTCTGCTTTAAAAGCTGGCTCGATGCAGAGGGTGAGGGACATCCCGTTGGGGGGCTTTGCAAGAAGCCACTGTCCTATGGGGAGCATGTTTACGGCTACCTGATGGGGCTGCCCTGCACAGAGCAATTTGTGGAACACCCGGTTGCTTTGGCTCTGGATACTCCTTGCTTGTGGCCAGGCAGGGGCGGCGATACCAGTGGAGTGGGGATATCCACACACACTCCCTGAGTTTTCCATGAATTTTAGTCCCGGGCATCAGACTGGCTTTTGGCAGCCCCAAGTCCCTTTGATGTAGCCGGTGAGCAAAATCACTCACATCCCAGGGCCCTGGTCTGGCTGGGAACTCCTGGTTCTGCTCCAAGCTTGGGATAAGAGGGAATTGGGTCATAGTCCAGGCAGCCGGATCTGGCAAGGGCCCCGGGCAGGAGGTAAGGGGACAGCTCAGTCCAGGCAGTAGTAAGGACTTGGAGGTGGGCTCAGCCCTTTCCCCTTGCCGTGCTGAACCCGAGGATGGTCATGCTGCTGCAAGGTCCACGCTAACACTGCCGAGTCCTGGCTTTAGGAACAGCTGCCTTGCGGGTAAGCAAACACCCCCTCTAAATCCCTCTGGATATAATCCCCCGGAGGCTTTATATTCCCAGCATATAAGGGAGGCTTTGCAAAAGCCCTCTGTTCAGGAGAGCCCCGCAAAGACAGGTGGCGAAAGCTGAGCATGGTGTATCCGAGCAGGTTAGGGCTCGTGGCAGCCACGGCTTAATTTTTCCAAGTTGTTTGTTCACCTCAGCTCCGATCAGAGGTTTTTTCCCAGACTCTGGACTCTGGAAAAAGGAAAAAAAAAAAAAAAAAAGTTGCGTTGGAAGGGTGGGAGCCTGTTGCCCAGGTTGGGCAGCTCTGAGTCACCCGTCCTGCAAACCAGTGGGAATGCAGCTGGACCGGCCAACCTCCCGCCGAGACGAAGTTCCTCTAAGAAGGGAGCAGCGGGGGAGGAAAATAAGCATGAAGTTTCCAACTGTTTTGTCTTGCTGCTTTTGCTTTTGATTGTGACCGAAGTCCCCACACCAGCACCTGGGCCACGTTCTGGGAACATCCTCCAGGAGCCTGGGTGCCCGCCCGGGCGCTGCTTCCTCAGCGCTGGCTTTACGTGGCTGGAGCTTTTTCACCGCCTCGAGCTCCGTTACTGCATGATCAGCAATCATGTGGCCAGACCTTGGCCCTGTGGCGTGTGTTTATCCGCATGGATTGCTTTTATTTCTCTGAAAGTGTCATCGGGGACTTGTGGGAGTGAGAGGGAGGTGGAGAACGCCTGGGAGTGGGTCTGACTCCRCATGGCTAAAGTACATGCTGTGAGTTAGAGAAGTAGCTGCAGACCTCTTCTCTGTCATCATCCCTCTCAATGTTCCTTTCAGTTGCACTCTGAAAGGAGCCCGTTTAGCTGTTTCTGTTTATTATTGCGAAAAAAAACGTGATTCTGCCGCCATCCCTGACCAGGGCAAATGCAATGAGCCCGACAGAGAAGGAAGAGGATGTGTTAGCCCAGGTTTGTGGTAAGGACGTTCCCACCTTTCCTGCCTTGTGCAGCTGTGGARCAGTGCTGCTGTAGGGCCAGCGGTGGGGCGGTGGAAAAGTGAAGACCTCCCCGGTGCAACWGTCTGGGAGCAGCCCTGGGAACCTCCCGGAGGAGACATTTTGGCAGCCTTGGGTGCATTCCCGGGAGGTTTAAAAGCAGTGCCTCGGCCACAGGCTTTCCCTTCCTGAGCTTCATCCCGTGACTGCTAATCAGGCCTCCCCCGAGCTGACTGCCTCCACGCCGCCAAGTCAAGTGGAGGAGTTAAACCTTTTTTTTCTTCTCAGCTTTTGAACTGCTCCAGCACCCTGTTGCGTTTCCTCTTCCTCATCCTTACTGGAACGCTGGGTGCTGGGGCYGGAGCATCCTCCTCCTCATCCTTGTCCGGGCACCTATCCAGGAGATGCGTACTGTCCTTCCGTGTGCGCGGGGAGGGTGGAAACACGCGCCTTCGGCTTGTCTAAAGGTCCCGATGGCCGCGCGGCTAATGTGTAACGCGGGCAGCCCCGTGCAGGAGTACACATTAACCGGCTTTCACAATTGCCCCGGGCTGCCGTGACCCCCGGGCTGTCCTCACCAGCGCTGGGGGCTGCATTGCTCAGGGTGAGTGTTGGTGGCTGCCCAAGTTTAGAGCCGCCTGGAGAGGCACGAGCTGGTGTCCGTGCTGCCCCACGAGCCTTCTCAGCCCCTAGGAGAACTTGTTGCATCTCCAGTGAAGCAGCTGGGCTCAAGGGAAAGCTCTGCTTTGGGGATGGCGTAGTGGGAGGGAAGGTCCTGTTGAGGTCCATAAGGTGAGAAGCAGGGGGGCTAAGTGAATTGAGCAGGACAGGCAGCTGCCTYGTTGGAGATTAGATGGCTCTGTGCATCCATCTTGCGTGTGCTTTGAAAATCCTGCCTGAAACGAGGGTGGGGAACATTTTGCAAAGCAAAAAAAATGCTGGGCTGCTTATTTTTTTTTTTGATCTCTGTGTGAGATTGTTGTTGCAAGAATGTCTCCTGGAGAGAAGGTAGCAGTATTATTTGTGTTTGTATCCTGGAGGAATTTGATCCCCCGCCAAAAGCGTCTCTCTCTCTCCAGAAGCTGCGGCGGCGTGCACGTCCATGTGTCGGCAAGTGCCTGCAGCCGCCGAGGAGCTGCCTGGCCCAGCAGAGCCCATTTGTCTRCCGGTGCCTTGGAGAAAACCGCTGTCCCGCTGAAGGGCTGCTGGCAGAAGCACCATGTCCAAGGATGAGGGTGCAAAGAAGCCTGCGGAAGAGGCAGCGCCGGAGCAGCGCTGGAAGCTCCAGGTCTTCTATCTGTGCTTCTATGGGTTCATGACGCAGATTCGGCCTGGAGAAAGTTTCATCACTCCCTACCTGCTGGGCCCTGACAAGAACTTCACAGAGGTGGAGGTGAGCAGCCCGTGACCTCCTCGCTTAGGGGTTTTAGCCAAGGGCTTCCTGCAGGCACCCAGTTCTTGGGCACCTTCGCCGGAGCAGCCCCTTCTAGGGCTGGGGTGGGCAGTAGCAACCCTCCCCATGCTCCAAATCAACCCCCGGAGTGGTGTGGGTGCAGAGGGACGTGTCGGGGAGCAGAAGGTGTGGCAGATCTCTTTTGGGACRGGGTGGGGTATCTCCGTGTGCATAGGGAAAGGGTGCTGGGGCAGCGTGGCACAAGCAGAGCCAACCGCCCCGCCGGCGGTGCGTTCCTGTCCTCCTCGGCCGCAGGGTGGCTGGGTTAAACTCAGGTAACCCCAGCCTGGAAAAACAGTCCTCAGGTCACCTTTCTGCAGCGGCCTAGGGAAAGACCTGCCGGCRAGCAGGCTGGAAGGGGCCCCGCGAGCCCACGGGCTGGCCCCGTGTGCCCTCGCAGCCTGGCAGCTTGCTCCAAAGCCGTGCACTTGCCTCCTGGTCCTCTTCCTGGTGCCTGGGTAGCCTGAGCAGGTCACTTTGACCATCCCGCTCYAGGGCATCTAGGAAAACATCCCTTAGGAGCATCACCAGCACAGTGTGGGGTGGCTGACAGCCTTGTGTGACTGCCTCRGGTGGTGGTACTCTGCTCCTGGGGGGCTGGAGATGGCCCCTTGGGTTCCAGTAGGGGTCTGGGTGGGAGTYGATGGGCTGACACAGGTTTGAGGTCTATCTTGCTTTGGCAAAGKGTGCCTGGCCAAAAGGGCCAGCCTAGGCTCCCCCTTGAGCTGGGGCTGTGCGTGCCTGCTGCCTGCCCAGGTTTATGTTTAAGCCTGGGGTTAGCGGTGCGAGGGCTGAGCTTTGAGGTTGGTTGCTGAGGGTCGGGGTGCCGGGGGAGGTGGTGGGGACAGGTGAGAAGGGCCGGAGCCGGCTCCACAGCCAGCAGCACAGTGCGTAGCCATGGGGTGGCACCGGGCAGCAGCGGCCAGGGTCGCGCTGCAGGCCCCGGCCAGCAAGGACAGGRCTGCCTCTCCCCCCGGCCTCTGGACGTGTTGGCCCCAGGCCCGGCGGATCGCCGTGGCCGTGGGAACGCTGCCTTCCCAGCGTGGCTAAGCCGGGCCCCTGGCTGAGCGCGCGGCAGGCCGCATTCCTCCCGAGGATGGGTCGTGCTGGGGCGTGCGGCCCAGCGGGGGCTCGCGGCGAGGACGGGGCCTGCGGGCGCCAGCAGCGCGCGCCGAGCCCTCAGGCTGTCTGTGCACGTGGCAGGTGACCAACGTGATCACGCCGGTGCTGACGTACTCCTACACGGCCGTGCTGGTGCCCATCTTCCTGCTGACGGACTATCTGCGCTACAAGCCCGTGCTGCTGCTACAGAGCCTAAGCCACATCTCCATCTGGCTGCTCCTCATTCTGGGCGTCTCTGTCCTGGCCATGCAGTTCATGGAGTTCTTCTACGGCGTCACCATGGCTGCCCGCATCGCTTACTCCTCCTACATCTTCTCCCTCGTCACGCCGGCTCGCTACCAGCGCATGGCCAGCTACTCCCGCTCCTCTGTTCTCATGGGTGTCTTTACCAGCTCAGTGCTGGGGCAGCTCTGTGTCACGCTGGGTGACGTCTCCTTCCTCACGCTCAACTATATCTCCCTAGGCTTCATGAGCTTTGGCCTAATCCTCACGCTCTTCCTGGAGCGGCCCAAGCGCAGTCTGTTCTTCAACCGGGCAGATGCAGCTTGCAATGGAGCTGCACCAACAGAGCTGGACAAGATGGCTCAGGAGAGTGGTGAGGGGAGGTGGCGCTGGCACGATGTGCTCCTGTGCCGCATGCTGCGGGAGGTGGGCTTGGTGGCCAAGCAGCCGCAGCTCCGGCTCTGGTCCCTTTGGTGGATCTTCAACTCAGCTGGCTACTACTTGATACTGTACTATGTGCAGATCCTCTGGAACGAGATCTACCCTGCCAGGGACAACCGCAGGGTCTACAATGGAGGGGTGGACGCCGCCTCCACGTTGCTGGGTACGCTCCTTCAGCCTCCCGTGGCTTGAGGGGAGGGATCAGAGCACTGCTGTGACCTGCTCTATCCCTTTCTTGTGGCAGAACTTGAAGTGCTTTTGCGGTGAGGATGTGGGGCACGTTTGAGGTTGGTTGGTAGGGTAGGGTGGGCAAACACCGTTAAGTCTCGTAGTGACTGCCAGGCTCAGGGACAGCAGGAAGGCAAAATGCTGTCTTTTCACATCAGGGGCATCACTCATGGTGGCCCTGTCCTCCCCGCAGGAGCAATCGCCTCCTTCGCAGCTGGCTACCTGAAGATTCGCTGGACGCTGTGGTCGGAGCTGGTGATTGGGGCTGTGACAGCCTTCCAGGCAGGTCTGCTCTTGCTCATGAACACTACCAGCACCATCTGGCTGTGCTACGCTGCCTACGTGTTTTTCCGGGGATCGTACCAGTTCCTGGTGCCCATCGCCATGTGAGTGATGCCCCATTCCTGCTCCTCAGGGGATGGACAAGCCAGCKGTATCTGCCTTCTGGGGTAGTGGCTTGAGTTTGCAGCCCTGGAGGGGCTGAATTCACTCTCTTCTTTTCTTCCCAGTTTCCGGATTGCTACCTCCCTTTCCAAAGAGCTTTGTGCCCTGGTTTTTGGGGTCAACACCTTCTTCGCCACTATCCTGAAGACCATCATCACCATTATCGTGGCTGACAAGAGGGGCTTGGGCCTCTCTGTGCATCCTCAGGTAGGGATGGGAGGGGACACGGCCAGGGTTCACAGACACCAAGAACTGGGGTGGTCCCAGACAGAGCACAGGGGGAAAAGAAGCGAGAGGGAGACAGCCTGGGGGTTGGTCTTTGGGCCTGYTGCTTCCTTGGATGTGTCCAAGGCTAGCAGGCCCGCAGGGATGCCAGCTCCCATGGTGGCAGGAGGCAGGTAAGCGGGGTTGCCACACATGGGTGCTGGCAACTTGCTACAGGCTTCCCTCTGTCCCTCCTCGCAGTTTTACGTGTACTTCGGCTACTTCGCRCTGCTGGCCGTGGCCTACCTGCTGGGAGCCATCAGCACGGGCATCCAGCACCGCCGCCAGAAGCAGCCYGCGGAGCTGGCCTTCACCAAGGAGCTGCCGCAGCCGCCCGCGGACGGGCCGGAGAAGGAGAGGAGCTCCGAGGCAGGAACCGTGCAAGGCTGAACGCTAGCCCCGCGTCCCCACGGTGCCTGGCCGGCCGTGGTGCGCAGGACGGCTGCACAGCGTGGTGATTCCCTCAGAGGAGCAATAGGCCCCAGGCCCTGTTGCTAACCCAGCCCCGCTCACCAGCAGGGCTCAGAGCCCATGGCTGGTTCCTTGCCCCTCCATGGGGGCTCACTGTCCCACAAAGTGGGTCACGGCTCTCAATAAATGACTATCACTACTCCATGATGTGCTTCATCTCCCATCTGTCCAACCCACCAGCAGCCCCATCACTGTCCTGTGGAGAAGATACCTGCTGTGATCTCCTGCACCCATCTCTCCATCAATGCTTGGAAAGAGTCCCCATCCAGCACAGATTTGGGGTCTCCTAGGAGGTGGGTGGACCTGACAGTACAAATCTAACACAGAGTCACCAACCTGCACCAGGGCTTGTTCCTTTGCTCCCTTCTTGGACCTGGACACATTAAATACAAGCAAGGCAGAGACAGAATGCCCAAGGCAGCATCAAAACTGAAACCAGAGCTAATTCCAGGTGCGGTGGGAGGGAAACAGATGGGGTCTGGAGGACTCCTGGCTCTCCATCCTTCTGCTCAGCTGCATGGAGCCACACTACAAGAGGATAACATTTCTTTATTCAGTGCCTTTAGAAAAAAAAATGGTTTATAGGACACAACCAACAAAAAATATAAAGCTCCACAGGCTTTGAATTGCATTAATTACACAAAATACAGTAGACGGTAAGAAACAGACTGTGTGACTCGCACAGCTTTTATGGTAAGAATTTCCATACAATAATAAAAAGCTAGTTATAGATTTTTTTTTYYTTTTTTTTCTTCTCTCTCTTTTTTTTAGCACCTTGGATTTGTCCACACCAATTCAAACCAGCTTTGCTTCGCTTTGGCCTTAGGGCGCAACAAAGGTGGCACGGAGGGTGCCCGTGGTTCCTGGCCTTGGGTACCACGCGGTCCACATGCACGCACACCCACGCACACGTGTGTAAACACATGCCAGCGGCAGGCTGGGTGCTCCCCTCCCAGGCCCGGGGGGACAGCCTCCACCGGAGCCCAGGGGAGGGCGCCTGGATGGGGTCCACAGGGCACCCGGATGGGGTAGGGGAGCAAGGCAGTGAGGGAGGGTGACCTAGAGATGGGGATTTGGGAACAGGCAGTGGGATGGGAGGYAGGGATGAGGCCGAAGAGCCGCAGGGCCGGCTGGGATGAACCTTACCTGGAAGGGTGGAGGCCGCTGGGTGCAGAGTAGAGGGGAAAGCGCCGAGGAGCCGGGTCCCTGCCCAGGGATGCTCTCTTTGCTTGGGACAGGAGTGCTGCGTGTGGGGCCAGCTGGCCAGATGCCAAGGATGCCTGAGGTGAGCGCTGTCCCCCCTTGGGTGGCCCAGAGGTACAGCAAGGCCCCAGCAGCAGGGATGTGGGTCGGGACCCGGGCTACTGGCAAGGACAGTGCAGGGCTAGGAAGCTGGGGATCCCCCCTGGCCTCTGCTTTCTAGAAGAACACATCACGGAGCATCTCCWAAATCCTCCTGTGGAACATCCCTCCCTGCAAGCCCGTTCCGAGCCTCCCCAAAAAAGCATCCTAGCAGGATGCTAGGAGGATATGGCTGATGCACGCATACAGCTGAAGTGGTTAAATATTAGGGGTTAGAAGTGAAACTGCTGTGTCCAAAAGGAGGAGGAGAAGGAGGTGTTGGCAGGGGGCTCCCCTGCACCCAGGCTGCCTCACCCCACACAGCCAGGGCAAGGGACATCACGAACCCCAGGGTGGGCCAGGCTATAAAAAAACGATGGCAATACTCTTTGGCTTTAGTTCCGGAGGAGAAAAAATAATAAAAAACAACCCTCCCCACAGGCTGAGGGCAAGAGCGTAGCCAGGGGAGCCGGCGCGGCCCGGCGCGGCCCTCCCTGGGCAGGCGTGCAGCGTCCCGAGCGCGGGGTTATTTTTTGGAGGCGGTCATGAAGCTGTTCTCGATGCACAGCACCACGAAGGCGTGCTGGCAGCTGCTGGCCGCCTGCTCCAGGAGCTTGCCCGCACTCAGCGAGGAGGCCTGGCCCATGGCGGCGCGCTCCTCCGTCCTCCACGTCTCGCAGTAGCTGTCGGGCAGCCGCCGGCCCTTGGCGTCCGAGCCGTGCCACACGCTCTTCTGGGGCCTGCAACGCAGAGGCACAGTGCAGCCGGGAAGCGACAAGACGCGACGGGAGCCCCGCTGAGCCGGGCCACCGTGCACTCACCACGCTGAGTCCCGCAGGACATCCCGGCCGTCGAAGGAGAGGATGCGGGCGCCGGGCCGCAGCGGGGCCTCGCTGCCCGCAAACAGGGCCTCCCAGTTACTGAAGAGCACTTCGTCCTGGTGGGCGAGAGAGCGGCTCAGCCTGGCCACCGTCCCCGCTCCCCACACCGCCGCGTGCCCCCGAGATGCTCCTGGTCCCCAGAGGAGGACTAGCTGGACCATCGCACAAAGTTGTCCCAGCCGGCACAGCAGCACTGCCGGTCCCATGACACCTACCCGGAGGTTAACGATGGGCACCGTGCTGCGGTCGGCCCTGCGCACGATGCTGTAGAGGTCCTGGAGGCGGGAGGAGAGGAAGGCCCGGAAGGTGCCCAGGAGGCCGACCTCGCGGGCTTGCTGGAAGCACTGGAAGTCGGCGCCGCGGATGCCGCGCATGCTGCCACTCAGCGGGGCATTCAGGGCTACCAGGTGGAGCTGCCAAGGGGACACAGGGTCAGCCCGCAGCCAAGGGGCGCTCGGGCTGCGAGGGAAGGTGGCTGGCCACCATGGACATCTCCACGGGCCGCTTGGGACTCACGGCAGGCTGGAAGTCCTGGTGCACGTGGGCGGCTACAGGGGCTGGATCTGGCCTGCGGTTGATGTAGTAGCTGTTCAGGAGCTCTTGCTGATGCTGGGTGCCGTGATGGAGCGCGGGCTGCTCGGGAAGGCGGTGCTGGTTGGCCACGATTTCGTCCCCTCGCCAGGGCCGGGCAGTGGGTGGTGGGCTGTGGTTGCGGAGAGGGTGAAGGGGCCCACGAGGCTGGTAGGGGTGCTGAGACCCGGAGGGGACGGCACCACTGTGGGAGTAGTGGACGTTGGGTGGCTTGTCGTAGACCTCGTTGTCCTGGGACAGTAGGGAGAGCRGTGCTCAGGGCCAGGGCTGCCCAGAGCTGGGCTGAGGCAGCTGGCTGGACACCCCTGCCCATGCGCTGCTGTGGGGAAGGGGACTCACCAGAGCAGAGCTGGAGATCAGGGTGTGCTCCTCGAGCTGGAAGGACAGGGCACATTAAAGCAGAGCAGAACCACCCCTCTCCTCTCGCTTACACCACGGGGAAGGCATCTCAGCACCCCACAACCAACAGTGCTGCCGTGAAGCAACCAAGTACCCCGCAGCAGGGGTGCGACCGGCTCCCTCTGATGCTGGGTGACATCCACAAGGTACGCCAAGCCCAACAGTGGTGAAGKGTGAGCGGTCACCCCAGCCAGCACTCACCAGCACCTTGCGGAAACCATTGCGCACGCGCACGTAGAGCTCCTGCCGGTCAGCCAGGAAGACAAGCCAGCCCTCGGACAGCTCGTGAGCAGCGCTCAGCATGGCCTGGTACGTTGGCACRGCACGTAGCTGTGGGCACGGGGCAGGTGAGTGCTGAGGGCTCAGCCAGCAAGCCCAGAAGGGGAGGATATTGGGGCATGGCCCCAGCATCCCCCCACGCTCTGCATTGAGGGCAAACATAGGGCTGGGCAGGCAGAGGGATGACCCTGCTCTCCTTCCCAGCTGCCCCAACTCACCGCAGGAGATGTCCCGCCGGTACCTGGTGGTCCAGGGGGTCCTGGTGGCCCAGGAGGGCCAGGAATGCTGATACCTAGGTAGAAGAGAAGGCCAAGGTGGCAGGGAAGGCCATGATGGAGATGGTTGCCCCAACTTGGTGCATGGGACAGGGAGAGGATGAGTGAGGGGTTGGTGAGCAGGAGGGCAAGTACTCACTTTGCCTGTGTGGGCCTGGGAAGGAAGGAGGACCAGGGGGGCCGGGAGGGCCAGGAGGACCCTGCCGCCCCTCATATCCAACGCCAGGAGGTCCCTGAGGTCCCGGAGGCCCTGGTGGTCCAACAATACTGTCCCCCTTGGGACCCTATGGAAAAAAAGAGAGCATTCATGAGGCCCTCCCCAGCCTGCTCTATACCACTCAGAGCACAGAGACATCACCAATTCAACCTTTGCTCCTAAGGTACTCACCGGCAGGCCAGGGTAGCCCTGGGGACCGGGTGGGCCTGGCAGTGTGGAGATGCTGGAGCCATACAGTGGTGTCCCGCCTGGTTCACCCTTCTCGCCCTTGAGGCCAGTCTCCCCTTTTTCACCCTGTGGGACAGCATGATGTGAGCATGAGCTATCTGTACTTCCTACACCCAGTGCATCCCAGCATATGCCCACACTATCCTAGCAGGCCCATAGTGCCCCAGGACACCAAGTCACCCACCACACCAAGGTACTGCAGCCACCTCACCCACCCACCATGAGCTGCTTGCAGTGGGCTGGGGCAAAGGGCCTTACCYGCAAGTTGGCACTGAATCGGCTCAGGTCGTACGGGAACTGGCCTGTGGAGGGACAAGGAGAGGAGTTACGGTGGCTGGTGCATGGCCTTGCACTTGGGCTCCCAGATGGAGGTTCTCTCTTCCCAGACAAGTCACGGGMACAATTAGGACTCCCTGTACGTGCTCTGTCCCATCACGAGGAGGAKGCAGAAGGTTGAAAGCCAGCAGGACGCCCAGGAAAAGGCATGTGCTGTGTGGTCAGACAAAGCACTCAAGAGCAAGATCCTTGTGATGGCTCAGAAACGGTCCAGTGGGACGCATGTTGATGTTACCATGAGATGCCTCCCATACACATTTCTCTTCTCAGCCTACAGAGATAGAATTGCTCACCTGGGGGACCTGGAGCACCAACATCTCCTTTTTCTCCCTTTTGACCTGGAAACTGATGGAAGCCTGAAAGAAACAGAAGTGATGATGCCCTATTAGACCCATAGCATCCCAGACAAAAGGGAGCATCTCTGTACTCAGAAGCCAGCCCACATGTGGTGCCCTAGGGTGCCTGCTGTCAAAGCTTTTGACACAGAACTGAAATGATGGTGCTTTCCACTACACAGGGGTAGTTCTGCAGATGGGAACCAACCCCCTCAGTTCAGTCTTGCCCCAGAAGATAAGAATGCATTTGCAAAAGGCACTGCAAAATCCCAGTTTCCACTGGACTTGCTTGTCTGTAGAGTCCTGCAGGTGCAGGGGCACTCTGTCTGGGACCACTTCCAGTTCCCACCCTTGTTGAGGCTACCCAAACTGTTCTGTGAGACTGGGACATAGACATCCCCCCTTACCAGGGAAGGCTGGCAGCGCAGGATGGCTGGCGTCACTGAAGGCCTGCAAATAGGTAAGAAGGGCAGTTTTAAAGACAGCTGTCTCTCTGAATGGGTCTCTAAGAGGTCTTCTTGTTGAGAACTCCCTCAGACTACAGCTCGCATCCCTCTCCACCACTGTGGRATGTGGCAGTCCCAGCCAAACTGCCCATGCTCTGCCAAAGGGGCACAACCAGTCCATCAGTAGGACCTACCTAGTCTGGGACCTTTTGCTCTTATGGTTCAAATCCTCCAGAATACCCAAAGAAAGAGCTTTTGGGCAGTTGAAACATCATACACTGACCTCCATGTTCTTCCCTGCAATGCCAAGTGCTGTCCCACTGCTGCCACATCTGTCCTATTGCTCACTCCTGAGCAGCATGGGGAATGGCCTAGGTGGCCCATTTGCACAAGGCTGACGACAATCCCACAACCCAGCTATGGCAGAGACATCGCCAGTGGCATCCTTCATCCGCTCTGCCCTTGACACTGCCTATGACACTAGGGTAACAGAGCTCATAGACACCATGTGGCACCCTTGGCCAGGACAGCGAGATCAGGATAAGCCAGTATCCAGCTGTACATCTAAGAAAAGAGGCAACTATGGTGCTACTTACATTACTGTTGTCATAGATGACATTGCCAGGTGGCCCAGGAGGTCCTGGTGGGCCAGGGGGACCTGGGAGACCCTGCAGAGAAAAAACACTGTCGGATTCTGGCAAATGGGAAGTGTGATGGTTCCCACAGGGGAGACTGGGGCCAAGCTTTGCCCCGGAGGGGACACCCACAGTCACTGCTGTGTCCTGAGTGCGTAGGGGCTGCTCTCTGGAGTTTTAGATATGACTATTYCCCGCTGCCACCTGCCTCCAACCCACCAGGAAAGCAATGCAATGGGCAGCACCAAGAGCCGTTTACTTCTTCACTCCCCTCCTGGGGAGACAGGTCTTTCTGTTGCCCCTGTGCACGTTTTTGCCCTTCCCTGAAGGGCCCAAGGCCCCAGGCGAGCCCCTTCCTCGCTCTCCGGCTGCAGGACGCACTCACCCGCGGGCCCAGCATGCCGCTGACGTCGGCAGGGTCGCCCTTCTCGCCCTTGAGCCCRTTCATGCCTGGCCGCCCCTGTGGAGCACAAAGAAGCTCATCTCCGTGCCAGCCCCAGTGTGGAGGATGGGTGATGCCGCGGCATGGACACGGAGCAAAGCAGTCGGAACGCCCGCGGGGCTGAGCCCCTCTGCTCGTCCCTGCAAGGCCAGGGCCCCAACACCGCATCCTGGGACGTGGGGCATGAGCGATGCTCCTGTCCAGGCTTGCACCTCTCTGGCATCACTGCTGAGACCCCCTCAGACCTCTGCCCCAAAATGCTTCTGGCATAGTTTTGATGCAGAAGAGAGAGGGCTTTGGGGTTAGGCAGGTGAGAGATGGACAACTAGGGTGGACAACTAGGAGGGCAGTTCTGGCCAGGGTGAAGGAAGAGACAGGGCTGGTGGCAGATGTGCCTGACAAGGATGGACAACAAACCAGGAGCGGTTCTTACAGGTCTGCCCGGAAAGCCAATTTCTCCCTTCTGTCCAGACCGTCCGTGGGGGCCCTGGAAGGGGAAGAAGATGGGGACACAAGAAGCATCCATCATTCTCTGGGTTCTCCCTAACTCTGACCCCCCACCCCACCAAAAAGCCTTTTTCCTTCCCCAGTAAAACCACAAAGGCGACGGAGTCGCTGACTTACAGATGGGCCCGCTGGTCCCCGTGGCCCTGGCTCCCCCTGCAGACAGAGAAGAGGAAATTAACATTATCGTATGGAAAAGGAAGCGGCCCTCCCTCTTTGCAAACAGTAATGACTGGGAGTCCCTCTTTTGGTGGGACATTTGGGCCAAGAAGTCTTGGGAATGGCACATCATGCGCACTCACCTTTTCTCCTTTCACATTAGCAGCTATGATGGTCCCGTCCGGGCTAATGATGACACCAGGCTCTCCCTTCTCGCCCTGGAAGGAAACAGGAATTGGACGGACAAGGCTCTCTCCCTCGGAGCTGGAGGACTGGCATTGCTGCCAGCCCTGGAGTCAGAAGGGATGGAGGAATGGGACCACTGCCAGCTCAGGGAGCTGAAGTGGCCAGTTACCTTCAGCCCTGGGGAGCCCTGGAAGCCAGGTGACCCTGGGTCTCCTTTTGGTCCCATAGGGCCCTGCATGGAGAAGCAGAGTCCCATGTCAGCCCCACGAGCAAAAGCAGACTCCCCACTCCACACTAGTTGCCTTTCCCTGCTCCTTCTCTGCTGCCAGACTTATCCTCCCCACCACTGCTGGAGGACAGGACTCAACCACGTGGGTCTCAGAGAGGTCTCACTCAACAGCCCAAGTCACCCAGCACAAGGTGTCAGTGCCGTACGAAGCCCAAGGCTAGGTCCCCTCTTGGAGGAGCATGCAGGAGAACAGAGGGCACTGGAGGGGCACAGCAAGGCTAAAAAGCTTCAGCAGCCCCTCTACAGCAGGAGTTGAACTGATGGTAGTGCACAAAATGTGGGGCGGTAAATAGAGACATGAAATTAAAAAAAATAAACAAGTCTGGACCTCTCTTCCCAGCAAGGAAGGCTAGATAGGCTCAYGCCAATCATCAGTGCCTCATGACATCTTCAAGCTCACATGAATTTTAGCATTAAGCTTCTTCACATGCTGTTAATTTATTTCTGGCAAGCATTCATCTGCTTTATTCCTCAATGGACAATTTGGCTGGATGCTTTTAAAAACAGCRATTTGGATATTTTTATTTTCTCCAATTCCTGAAACTCTCCTRGTCCCTACCTGGTACCCAAAGCTCCCTCGTGCCACCCATGTCACTGCACAGCTCCCACCAGGCCACCCTTGCAGGCTCCCCAAAGCCCGCACCGCTGACCTACCGGGAAGCCAGCATGGCCTGGTCTGCCCTGCAGGAAGGCAAAGACACTCATAAGAATAAACCAAGTCTTTCCAAGAAATGGGATGCATTCCAGGCATGGCCAAAGGCGCACACGGGCAGGGGTGAGGCACCTACCTCTGGGCCTGGCAAAGCTGCCAAAGACTTCTGGAAAAACAGACAAAATAGGGCTTTAAACACAACCTTTGCTCTGTCCCTCAGCCTGGAGCACAGGCAGAGCTACTGGAGGGRTCCCCCTCAGGTTTTTGCTGATCTTTACTCATGACAAATGCTCTCTTGCCACTCACTGACACAGTTTTAGCTCCTGTCAGTTGAGTCCCACCCAACACGATTTGGCTTTGACTAAAATGTTATCTGGGGGACTCAGCTCTCTTCTGCTCAGGAGCAAGCATGACATGTCCTAGCCAGGTCAAGGGAGCATGGAGGAGGGAGCCATCACTTACGTCTTCGTTTGAGAGGTAGATGACCTGTCCTGGTGGGCCAGGTAACCCGGGGGGGCCGGGCAACCCAACACCATCTCGGCCTCGCTCGCCCTGGAAGATGCAGGCATTCAGCCTCCACACTGCCCACCAACAGTGAGCTCAGAGGCAGCTCCATCCACATCCCACATCCACCGAAGGAGAAGTATCCCCTGCAGGGACCAAACCAGCACTTACCTTCTCACCGGGGCTGCCTCTGTCACCCTTGGGTCCCTGGAAGAGGAAGCAAATGTAKGGAAGTTGCCACAAGTATTTGGAGCTATCATGGCTAAACTCAGCATTGCCCAGGCAAAGGCTGGCAGCAATGGAGACTTGCTTCTGCCTAAGCTCAGTAARAGCTTTCAGATCACTCCCTGCTTGGCAGGTTCAGGCTGCAGCAGGATGAACCAGTGCGAATCAAAGGGAGATCTCCATTCTGCTAAGGGGAGGCATGTGGATGGCCTTGGAGGAGCTGGGCAGAGCCTTCAGCGCTCAGGTACTGCTGAAGGAACAAGGACCTGGCTGCGAACAAGGCAGCGCCCTGATAGGGTCAGGGCCAAGCTCCAGGGCAGGGGAAGAGCTGAACGTGCAGGGGCACTCCAGCTGCTGAGAGCAGCGGAGGTGACGCCACAGCGTGCAAAGCTCACTCCCTGCCAGGGAGCTGGGAGTGGGGCTTTCAGGAGGAGAGGATGCTGCRAACATGTGTTGGGATGAAGAAGATGCTCCTACCTGTGGTCCGGGGAAGCCCTCCAGCCCAGGGCGGCCATCCACACCAGGCAGGCCAGGGTCTCCCTGTAAAATGAAGAGGGGCAGACTRAGATGCAGAGGAAAACATTATCCCAGGAGCCCAGGGTCCATGAGACCAGAGGTCCCATTCAGTCCCTGGCCAAGCTGAGGGCTACACACAACATCTCGGTAGTACTGGAGAAACTGATCCTACCTTCAGCCCTGGTAAGCCAGGTTGCCCGGGGCTGCCAGCATCTCCCTAGAGGGAAAAGCAGTGTTAGATGGCAGGGGCATGGACTGCGAGAGCCTACACATCACCCAGTCCCCTGGCATTGCTCCCCCAGGCTCCCTGTGGGCCCATCCTGCCCCCAACGCCAAGGGAAGGACGTCCCAGGAGAGCAGCTGGAGAGGAAACAGTGCTGAGAGCACAAAAAAATAAAATAAAATAAAATAAAATAAAATAAAATAAAATAAAATAAAATAAAATAAAATAAAATAAAATAAAATAAAATAAAATAAAATAAAATNAAAATAAAATAAAATAAAATAAAATAAAATAAAATAAAATAAAATAAAATAAAATAAAAATACAAAACCAAACAGCTTTGAAGGCTGGCTCTGCCACAGCACGGTGCTGGGAAGACATTTGAATTGCTCCTCACCTTGGTTCCTGGCAATCCTGGTGGCCCCTATGAATGAGAACAATGTGGCCATGAGCACAGAGTAACTGCCTGAGGGACCTGGAGCTGGGCACAACTCACAAAGATCCCGAATCCCACTAGGATCTTTAGAGCTCGTACTGCTGCCAGCACCCTGAAGCATCTGGGAGATGCCACCAGTGCAGAGAGGGGCTCTCTATGCCTGCCCATCAATCTGCCCCAGGGACACATGGTGACACCTTGCTTAAGCCAGAGGAGAGGAGCACAGGGATTACAGGCATCATTCAGGGACTGGAATAGGCAGGGAAAGGTCCTTCACATGGTTGCACTTGTCAAGACAGGAGCACAGCACTTGGCTTCTCCTGCTGATGGGCCCTCCCAGGCATGATGCTGGATGGGATACCCRTGGGCTTGGGTAACCTCTCTAATCCCTGCACCAGCTCTTCTAGGGCAAGGGGAAGGGAARGGGCAAGGGAGGAGCTACCTGTGGTCCTTCAGGTCCGCGGGGTCCAGGGGTACCAGCTGCAAACGGCAGCCCTGAGCCCTCCATGTCACCCTAGGGCAGAAGAACAGACTCAGCCGTGTTTGCACCCACTCCTCCCAGCCCACACCATGGCCATCCCCTCTGCTGCAGATGAGAGGCACTTACAAAGCCAGCTTCGTACCCCGGCCCTGGTGGTCCAGGAGGGCCTGGGGGACCCGGCTGCCCTCGAGGTCCGATGGGTCCRGGAAGGCCAGCTAACCCCATTTCTCCTGGTGCTCCTGCTGGCCCTGTTTCTCCTTTGCTGCCCTGCAAAGAGGAAAGAACAAAAGCAAACACGTGGGACAAAGTGCCACGGCCTGTGCTTGGCACCTGTGGAGCATCCTCACACCGGGAGCATGCCGAGCCAGACAGAAAGGGCGCAGGGCAGAGATCCTTTTCAAAGCATATCAAACGCCCAAGCTACATGCAGGCCAGGAAGAGGAGCAAAGGGGCCTGTAGACCCACACCAGCCCTGAGGGTRAGGTCTGGATGCTCCCCTACATGGCACTTCTCCACGGCAAAAGGGCTTTGTGGGAAGGGGCAGGGCACAGCGCCAGCTTGCCACGCGCTGGCACCTCAGGCAGCCCCTGACAGCCAGGGCATTGCCCCAGTGCCACATGGCCCCGCTGTCCTCATTTGGTCCCTGCCAAGTGGTTCCTTTGCAATGTGCAAGACGGCCAGTAGAGGCTAGTCTACGTTCAAAAACGCTGTTTCTTGCAGTTCCTGTGTAAGCAGACGGTGGGATGCGCCTGCAAGAAGGGCCAGGAGGCAGCAGGAGCCGAGGCTGGGCACCCTGCCCGCCACGAGCGGCCGGCAGGGAGGCGGCAGGAGGCAGAGGCAGCTTGGCGCTCTCTCGCCCGCTCCCCGGCGAGCGGCACCGGCTCCGCGGGCGACACGGGCACGCTGCTATCGGGCGCATGCTGGTAAGGCAAGGCAGCACTCAGCGCGACACGGGCGGCACCGCGAGCACTTCACCTCAACGCCRGGTGCTGGAGAGGGGGCTCTGCCTGCTCAGCAGCGGGGAGGTGCCCGAGGGCAGGGCTCGCATGCACCCYTTGGTCTCCACACCGTTCAGACCAGCACAGCAGGTCCCCGTGTGCTCCCTGGGCCAGTGACCCGGGAGCGGGGCAGGTGCAGCCGCAGCAGCTCCGCACGACGCGGGACGCTGGGACGCGGGACGCTGGGGCGGCACGGGGGACGTGGTCACCTCAAGAGAGGCAGGCCGAGCATGCATGCGGCAGCCACGCTGCCCCGAGCCTTTACCTCGACCCTCGCCTCGCCCCGAGGCCGGGATGCGGAGCGGAAAGAGAGAGGCTCTAACAGGTGGGGAGGGAGAGGAGGCAGTTTGCTCTGGTTAGGTGGGAGAAGAGGGAGTGGAGACAGAGAGAAGAGTGACGCGCAGAAGACACGGACCATTTCCGAGGAGGTCACCTGTGGCCACCTGCCTGTTTTCACACCCACCACCACCACCATTCCCGTCACAACGCTCCCTCTGCAGGCAGTTCCCCCATGTGCCATCCTCCCAGCCYAAAGAGCTCCCAGCTCCTGCGTGTCCAGGAGAAACGGGCACCCACTCCTCTGCTTTTGGCACCCTTTAAAAAGTGAAAGGATGGGCAAAAGTGGCTGGRATTGGTCCACAGCTGCTTGAAGGAGGCAAAGTACTCATTCTGTTCACAAAAGTTTCCAGTTTTCAACCACTAGCACCAGACTCCTATCACTAGTGTAACCTAAGCAGATTGTTGAAAGCCCTGCTCTGCTAGGCTCAGCTTCCCCAGCCACTTCCCAGCAGGGCGAAGCCGAACGAAACACTGCAGGAAGAGCAGCGAGGAGCACGTGCAGAGGGGTTTCCAAGTGCCATGGCCCTGCAGCTGCTTTGCAGGCTCTGCTCCTAGAGGAACCTCAGCACGAGTCGACCCATCTCCCTCCCCATGCTTCCCAGAGCACCATCCCTGCCTGTAAGGGAAACTGCTGTGCTGCAAATGGGATTCCCCACGCGAGCCCTGGGTACAGTACCTTGGGTCCAGGTGCTCCAGGGAGGCCCAGGTCCCCCACATCACCCTGGGGAGAAGGGAAAGGAGAGTATGAAGCGGCTGCCTTGCTCCAGCTGCAGCCCAGCTCCATGCCCGGTGGGACAGAGCTGCAGCTGGGGTGCCAGCTGCCCTGTGGGGTGAGCAGTGCAGTGCTGTGGGCGTCTGGGTGATAAGGGGCACTCACCCGCTCTCCTTTGGGCCCCGGCTGCCCAACCATCCCGTCTGTCCCAGGAGGACCTGGAGGACCCTGGAAGAGGAGCCAGCATCAGCATGGTGAGAGGCTRCAGTGCCGTGTCCTGTCAATCCCACGGCACGGACCCCTCCAGTCACTCCAGCAGATCATCCCAGCCCTTTGGTGCGGGGCAGCTCCCCTGTGCACCTACCGCTGGCCCCGGCGGCCCGGGGCTCCCGTCTCGTCCTGGCAGCCCTGGTGGTCCCGGCAGGTCCGTGCGGTTCATGCCGAATCGCCCCGGCTCCCCTGGCAAGCCGGGCACGCCAGGAGGCCCCGGTGGCCCAGGCGGCCCGCGGGGACCCTGCAACGCAAGAAGGTGCCGRTGGCTGAGGGTGTCCCCCACCAACTCCTCCTCAGCAGGGTGAGAAAGCAGGTCTGGTGTCCAGGCACTCACCCGCAGGGTGTCTGGATCGCCACCAAAGCCGGAGCCCTCCATGTCGATGAAGGTCTGGAAGTGAAGGCCAAAGGTGCAACATTGGAGAGGGGATCCAGGCAGCACAGGGGTGCTGCCCTGAGTCACCGCACGCTGATGCGGTCCCCCACCTACCAGCTTGTCATGTTTGAAGGAAGGTCCAGGTGGTCCAGGGGGGCCTGGTGGTCCAGGGGGGCCCCTGGGGCCGATTCCAGGATCACCCTGGCACAGAGGAGAGAGTGGGGAGTTGGTGACCATCACCGAGATGCTTGAGGGGGTTCACATACCGCTGTCTGCACTGCCACTCACCTTCTCGCCCTTCATCCCCGGCTCTCCTGGTGTCCCGGGGAAGCCCTGGGGCCCCGTGTCCCCCTGCAAAGGGAAGAGTGGAGGTGAGTGGTCAGTGGTGGAGGGGGAGACACAGCCACCCCTGCTCGCKTGCCCTGCGCACTTACAGGTTTGCCATCTTCACCAGGATCACCCTAGGGAGAGCGGAGGGGAAAGTCAGTGCATGGGAACGCAGCAGCAGAGGAGGAGGAAGAGGAGGGCAGCCTCCTCCGCACAGGGGCAGCTTTACTCACGGGCTCGCCGTCCCTGCCGGGGGCTCCGTCTTTGCCGGGCGGTCCTGGAGGACCAGTGGGTCCTGGTGGCCYGTTGAGCCGCTCCGTGCCGGAGCCGTCGGGGGCACTCCCAGGGGGGCCTGGCTCGCCTGGTTCTCCTTTCTGGCCCTTGGAGCCAGGGTAGCCAAATCCAGCGCTGCCCTGGAGAAGGAAGGGGAAGGCATTGTCCTGCATCCACCTGCATGGTGGTACAGCCCCTGCGCACCCCAGCTTAGCCCCACAYGAGCCTCCCTTCCCCACTAACCAATGCTCACCTTGACGCCTGCATCACCTTTTTCTCCCTGCAGAACAGACAAGTGGGAAGATAGATGTCAAACCAAGACAGCACTGGGAGTCTCGAGCTCCGGGGCTGCTGCGGAGGCGGGTGGTCCAGCCGCCCCCCGAGCCACACGTCCCTCTCGCACCAACCTTTGCACCTTTGGCGCCGCCCGTCCCCGAGACGCCGCCGGTTCCCGAGTCCCCTTTCGGGCCACGCTCCCCCTTCTCCCCCTTCTCGCCTTTGGCACCAGCGCCTGCAGGAAGGGAGAAGGGGAGGTCGCCACTGCTGCTGCCAGGGTCCTCCTGGGACTGGCCAGTGCCAAGGGGCAGAGCTGCYCGGACGGAGCCGCGTTACCTGCTGCGGATATCAGCAGCGTGTCCAGCACTCGGGTGCGCTCTGCTTGCGGCAGGGATCCCGCGGCGATCCCCGGCATGCTGCCCACAGCCACGGGCGGAGAGGTGACGGGGACAGCATCCACCAGCCCCGGGATGCCCTGTGCACAGGGAARCAGGAGAGCGTGTGAGAGCAGAGCTGCTGGTCTGGGAAATGGATGCAGGACGGGCAGAGAACCGTGGCAGCAGAGGCACAGAGCACAGGCACGTCCCTGCTGCAGGAGGGACCAACAGCCTTGGAGGGACCTTGGACAAGGACAGATCTCCGAGATAACTACCCTGGCCTGAAACGTGCCCATAGCTAAAAGCCCCTGCAGGCTTCTCCTAGGATTAACCGCTCTAGCTGTTAGTCTCTGCACTTAGCCTCRGCTGAATGAGCCAACCTTCACCTTCCAGATTGCAACCAGGAGGGCAAAGCGTCGGCTGGGACGGTTTCACGGTCAGCACTTCCTCTCCCTGGATTTCTCTGCCCTCTTATCCAAATGCAGGCACTGCAGGATACCTTGGGACCGCGGCCAYGGCGGGAACGCAAGGACTGGGGAGCCGGGAGGGTGGCGTGGCGTGCGACGGCGGACAGTGACAGCCGTGCTGTGACCACCCGGCAGCCGGTCCCTGCGCGGACGCCGCGTCCCTTGCACAAGAGCCTGGCTCGCTCTCACGTCCTCAAACGGCACCCATTGCCTCAGCGGCCGGACGCTGTTTAGATTGGGATGTGCGCTCCCGACGTGCCAACGGCACGCTTCCAGGCCCTAATGCACAGCTGGGAAAAGGGAGGCTTAGTAATTCCCTCCGTGCAGCCGGGAGCGGGAGGCCATCCAGGCTCAGCAGCTGAAACGGGAACGTGCCCATGGGCTACTGGATGATCCGGCTGCGAAACGCCTCCTTGCAAAGGCCTCGTGGAGCCGTGAGCTTGCAGCACGGCTGGTGAAGGATGGCTTTACTCAGCAGGTAGCTGAGCATCTGCAGGACAACTCACCTTGTCCTTTCCCAAGGCATGGTGTCCATCCTCTGCTCCGCTGCCAAAATCTCCCGAGACCTATATGGGTTCGGGAAGAAACAGAGAAAATCAGTGGGGTGCCAGGTCCTCTCCTCCCCTGGAGGAATCCCAGTCCCCAGCAACATTGCGGGGGCAGATGAGATCATTGTTCAACGCTCAAAAACAAAGATTTTGCCTCCAAAACACACATCAAAGGGGGCTGGCAACTGCCTGGTGCTCACCTCTTCAGCATCATCCTCCTCTTCCTCACACTGGTGCTCAGCTGCCCGGGGATCCCCTTTGAGCTTCAAGTCGGCAATCACCCCCTAGGACAAAGGACACCGAGGAGGGTCACRGGTGCAGCCCTGTGACACGAGGCACAATCCATGAGAAAAGTTCCTCTGCCTCCTCCGAAGCCAGGCCGGCCGAGCAGAGGTCGCAGCCAGGATGAAGGTAGCCAGACAGCGACCTTTTTGGAGGGAATTTTTGGATGGGGTCCTCACTYCCCCTTCTCCAGGGCATAGGGAAAAGCAGTTCCTCGCTACCTCGCTGCTCCAAGGAAAGGGCTGCCGGCCAGCACCGCGGCCCAGTGCGGCCCTCATTTTGTGCTTCTTAGGTTAATCCACACTTCCTTACCATTTATTTGGGTTTTGCAAGGGCTGTATACAGTCCAGCCACTTATTTATACAATGCAGACTCTTTACACAATGCAACTCAAAGTCTCTCACCAAAAAAAAAAAAAAAAAAAAANCGGCCCAGTGCGGCCCTCATTTTGTGCTTCTTAGGTTAATCCACACTTCCTTACCATTTATTTGGGTTTTGCAAGGGCTGTATACAGTCCAGCCAGATAATTATACAATGCACACTCTTCACACAATGCTCCTCTAAGTCTTTCTCCAAAAAAAAAAAAAAAAAAAACAAACCAAGCACCTTCTTGCTCCATAGCTGAGGTACCAAAGCCACCTCGGAGGGCAGCATTCCCTCTTGGCGCTCCACAGGAGGTTCCCTGGGCAAACCTGGAGCTGGTGAAGTAGCAGCGAGGGCTTTGGGACCAGCTAGGTCTCTGCTTTGTGCCGAAAGCGGAGTGCACCGTAAGCACCTCTTCCCTTTGGGAATAACCCCCCGTGTGAGGCCTGCTGCTGCCACCAGCTCCTGCTCCACAGAGCTTTTCTGCGCATAACCAACATTTCATTTTTAATTCCCCTTTTGCTTTCAGAGGGAACTTGGCTAAACAATCTTGGCTAGACAGGGACCATATAGCAGCTCTCCAAGAGCAAAGGAGCCTTGGGAACATGAGAAATGAGCAGAAACAGCGCAACTGTTGATGAATCATGGAGCAGCTGAGTTATCACCCTACCCTGCTCATTGAGACAAGCACGTTATGTTCAGTTGCCAGCCTAAAAAGACGTTTCCATGAAGGATTAAAGTTATCCTGGGCATCTCTGGGCAAGGCTGCAACACTCACCGCATTGTCAGGTCCTCCGCATTGCTCGGGAACGAACGGGCCCTTCACCTTCCCAGGACCTTTCCAGACCAAGCTGAACAGCTGGGATATGGCCCGGCCACCTGATCTCCACGGGGAAGTGGAGAGCAAACCACCCTGCCAGGGGCCACCCAGCCCACAATGGAAACCCTGCTCGCAAGCGAGCTTGGAGAAGAAAGATAACTGCCCGTGCAACGTCCTTCTCGTGCTCTCTCTCTGGATGAGACACCTAAAATAATATTTGGACTCACTTGAAAGCGCAACACCCTATGTCCGGGGAAGATGTCCGCGCTCGGGAAACACAATTTAAGCAAACAACAGCGAGCGGCAGCTACGAGGCCAGCGAGGCCGCTGCAAGCAGCGGGTCTGACCAACACTCTCACGGCAGCCGCAGGCAATAACTGCAGTGACTACGCGGCCCTGCCTCGCCTCTCAGGCAGCCGGGATCGCGCTCCTGTCGGCGTCTGCCAAGCGAACAACAGCCCCATGGGCATGTTTCTGCAGCCGTGCTTCCTGGAAACAGTCTGCCCCCAAGGAATTCGCCTGGCATCCCATCGGGCACGCCAGGAACAGGCAGGTTTGCGCTTCTGAGAGCGTTTGGTGCAAGGCTTTCCAGAAAGCACATGCAGCCCAAACAGACCCTTTCACCAAAATTGCTACTTTGGAAAGTCTCTTGGGATTGAAATCCCTACTGGAATGTAGTTAAGGCTGTGGAAACAGCCCAGCAAACTCTCCTCGGTTGAGTTTTGAGCCTCCTCCAGCTTCCCAGCCCTGGTGACCAAATCCTCTCCTTCCTGCCAAGCACCAGTATCAAGCCTAAGCTGCTTCTCAGGCCATGCCTTGATAAATGTAACACTCACCATCTGCTTTTCCGGTCCCAGGGTTCACAGGAAGCTTCAGAAATAACCCATTTCCAGCCCCGAACCAAAACACCCCCTTGAGGGATAGTCACAAGGACCCAGCAGCCCAGATAAAGGGAGCAGCCAACATTCTTGGTACCATRGGTCTTATCTTGCATTCAGCTGCAATCAAATCCTCCTACCGGACTACGGCCAAGTCCCTGATAATGGCAACCTCCTGTTTTATCTGCTCTCCCAAGAGCTTCTGCACTGCCTGCAAGCTTCACCCTTCCAGGTTTTATCCCACTGCCTTCATCGCTGATAAAACCACTAAGGCAACACCAGAGGAAGAACAGACCCCAGGGAGACCCTGCCAGGAGCAGTCAAGCTGCCCATTAGCGCCTCTATTTGTGATTTGTCCTGTGGCCAGGTTTTAATCAGCCCTATGCTCTGTTAGCTCCAGATAACACAACTTTGGGTTGATTTGCAATGGAACAAGTGTTGGGAGTGGGTATWTTTTGTGCTCTTTGCTCATAGTCTTCCCCCCTGAGCAGCCCCATCATGTGTTAGAAACATATGGGTGTTTCATCCTCTACTCCGGACTATTTCTTGGCATTTGCCTTCAAAAGCAGGCAGGTGGTGTCCCAAACACCTGCCAATACAGGAGCAAGGCATTTCTGTGTCAGTGGCCTCGCTGTCCTGGCAGGTTAAAGATTGCTTTCCAGACCCTTGCTCTCCAGACCCACGAGCCAGTGCCACACTGAGATAGCAATCCTGGAGTAATCTGGTCCTCAGACCATCAATGATTAATCCTTTCCTGAGGGAACTCTCCCTAGCCTCTCCCCCACGACTTGGTTTAACTGAATCACAACTGCAGCGTTTCTGGCTACTGGTCAAGACAATGTTTAAACTAAGAAATGCAATTTGCAAAGCCCAGTCACYGTGGGGAAGCACAGCTCTTTGCTGCAGAGCTGCTCCCACAGGGCAAAACATGTTCAACCTAAGACAAAGAGCAGCCCTGAATTTTACTCGTTATTGTAAGSGGATTTCTATGTCGGTTCAAGTGCGGTGCATTTTCCACACACKTTCCATAAATCTTATCTAAAACATAACTTATTCTTAAATCACAGCTTCAGCTATCATCTTCTCTGCCTGCTCTCAAAAGTCTTCCTGAAGATACCATCCAAAGTCAGCCAGCAAAGATATGCTTTGGCCCAGCATTCAAACATTTATTTTTCCAGCTACAAGATGTATTTTACCAGCCAAATCAACAGACATTAAAAGACATAGGTATTTTTAACAAAGTGGAGATTCTCTCAGACTCTTTGTGCTGTTCCCGTGTCTGCTCCACCAGTGGCTGGAGAAGGTATAGGCAATGGTGACTGCAGGCTATGCAACCTCAACCTCCTTGCAAGCTTACCCTTGTGGAGATGCAAGAAAATAAAGTTTCTTGCATCAGAAATCATCGCAACCTCCCCAGGCTTCCTTAGGAACAATCACAAGAGCACATTCACTAGCTTAACCTCTGGGCACAGTGAAATCAGAGGTAAATCAGCATAGCCTGGCGCCACAGCTCTCCAGTTTCAGACAAGTTCTCTCTCTGACAAACTTATTTGGGGTAATCTGAGACCTTACCTGGTATTTATCCGGGTCGGCTCCTCCAGCCTGAGCAACGAAGAGCCCAGACCCATCTTCCAGCTCCATCTCGTCTGGGGAGCGCTCGAAGCGGACCCGCTCGTGCTCCTCACAGTCCAGGTAGAGGAYGACTTCGTCCTCCTCCACGCTGATGGCGAAGCGTGTCCACTGGTTCAGCAGGGTGGGCACGGTGAAGGTGGCCGCCGCGTAGGAGCTCTTGGAGCCCGGCTCTGTGTAGTAGAAGATGATCTGCTGCTTACCCGCCCGCAGCTCCGAGAGCTTGACGCCCACGTAGATGATGCTCTGCAAAGAGTCTGTGATGGCAAAGAGGACGCCGGCCCGCGGGGTGGTGGGCTGGATGTGAAACAGCAGAGAAAAGTCCCGGTAAAAGGGGCTGGGCAGGTGGTACCGGGCCACCTGGCCTGTGTTGGCATTGGGTCCAAAGACATAGCCTGGGTTGTTGTCGGGGCCGTAAATTTTCTGGATCTCCTCTGGCGGCGGGTCTCCAATCAGCTCCAGGAGGCTGACTTCTGTGCTCAAATTCTCTGCAAGAGAAGAGAAGAGAAAGGTGATGGTGSCCTGTTGGTGTCACATACCCTGATCCAGACACCCCTTAGCAGGTCTCCTCTCTCCTAGTCTCCTGAGTGCTTCCGCATTCCAGCTCAAAYGCTGGACAAGAGCTGAAGACTAGTTACAGGAATTTCTGGACCAGAGCGCATCACTGCTAGAAGGACAACTGAAACCACCTTCTCCCCACACAAGGCAACATGTTCTCCTAATGCAACCTCTTTATGGGACCTGCTTTTGCAGCTCCAGCGGGATGTGAAGAAGGAAACTCTGAGGCCCAGGACCAGGAAAGTCATGCCACAATGAACTCCATTTTATGTATCAACTRCTGAACCTAAAAACTCCATCTGGCCAAAGGAAACATTTCATTCCAATGCTCATTTCAATTCCACATTCCTTCAGACATTTCAAACCAATTAAATAACAGTTTTTATACATATATATATATATATGATGTCGCTGAGGTGACTCCAATGATCATCATCCCTAAAGAGACGTTTTGATATTCAATAAACCAACTCCCAGCTTCAGCTCCATTGCCTGAACAGCTTTGACCCTGTGCTCTCCAGATGCTGCTTTTCCGTAATTTCCTCTGCTCCATCTTCCCAGGTCACATTGGCACTGCACCACCAGCTGGCCTCCAAAGCCAGATGATGACACGCAGGCGTTTTCCCCATGGAGCAAGAGGAATTTTTGCATGTGGGAATGRGAAGAGGAGAGCAGACTCAGGTCTCCCAAGGGCCGTAGCCAATTTGTGGCCCTTCCAGGGCCTGCTGGACATTCCTGCCTCTGCAGAGGCTGCTGYGGTGGCTCCCGGCCAGCTCTGCCCGTGCTGATTCAGAAGTGATGCATGAGGCACATATATCCAGTCATGCTGGGAGCGAACCCCAGGAACGCGATGCCTTGGGAGGGCCTGTGCATCATAATGGAAGAGATCAGTGTTGGGATGATCCCGCGGGATGCATGAGGGAATTGGCATCTTCCCATGCTCCTGCAAATGTGCTGCATGGCCTACTGTATTTTTTGGCAGGTCCAAGCTTCCTGGAGTCCCAGCATGGCTCATTCCTGAGGATACCATTAAAAACSATGGAGGACAACTTCCTAACCACCCAGGGATTACAAGCAAACCCGAGGCAGGTCAAGCAGCAGGACTTGGCTCTCCCTTCACTTTCTCCTCCAGCACTGCCCAGYCGCTGGCAAGGAATATGCCCTTACATCAGCATCTCCCAGCCATAGGTCACCCCTGGTCCTGGCGCTTCTTTACACAGCAGATAGCAGAAGGACTTACAGGAGATCTGGGGATTGAATGGAAAACACAAGTTCCTCTCTCAAGGAGGCTAGAAATCTGTGCTGTGGACCTGCCTTGAGCCCAGCACGTCAGACAGCTCTTTGCCAACCACGAATGTGGCACTGGGGCACCAAGGGGTGACAGCTACAGCGCAGATGCTGCAGCTTTCCCGAGCATCTTCCATGGCAGAATTTGCACACAGACCACCTGGGCCCGTGCGGCAAGAGGACACGCACGGCCCTCGCTGTCTCCCAGCCCCAGAGGCATTGCCAAGCACTAGGAGGCAACCGGACCCTGAGTTCCTGCCTGCAGAGCCATAGAAAGCGCGGTGCACACGTGCCTGCACCTTCCCTGGGGTCACAGCGACCCCCACGTGATCCTACCCCACGGGAGGCTCCGGGATACGCAGCTGCGGAAAAGCTTGCAGGGTCACCCTTGCTGGGAATAAATCACAGCCTTCCCACTAGCAAGCCTCCCATTGCACTGCCTGGGAAAGCATCTCGGATTGGCGCTCCTCATCCCTGCCTAGTCAGCTTCCCAGATGCTCTCAATTTTAAGAGCAGCTCCTTTTCTGACTCTTTTTTTTCTCAAGGCACTTTAGGGAGTTCTGGTCAGAACGGTCTCTCCTACCAGGAGCAGCTGAACATCTGGCCGCGCAAGACAGCCCTCTGTATGTAAACTCCTGTTGTTTTGGCAGCACACGCATCCTCATCGCCCACACAGCGGGTGCTGGATTCTTCCTTTCCTATGTCAACCTCTCGGGCTGGTGCCAACTGGGTTGTTTTACTCTGGTGCTTTTTAACTCCAGCTTTCCCAGGAGCTAGGGAATCCACCAGCAATTCCTGCACACACGCTGCCCTGCAATCCGCACGGTCCCCATCTCTGGTGGTTTTCTTCCCGAGGCCATTGTCACTTCTGGAAAGGAACAGTCCAACCAGGGGGGCMTGAACCCCAAAGCTGCAGAGAGATCAGGACCTGGACCTACCTTAGCCCCTCCAGTCGGGAAGTTTGGTGTTGACTGCATCCCCCCATCCCCAAGCTGGGAATGAGGAGCTTCTGGTAAGAGCTGCAAAAACTCAGTGTGCCCCGCACCTTCCGTGCTCCTTGTCATGACAAGCAAGGGGAATTGCAGAGCAGAGGTGTGCTGAGCCCAGGCAGAAGCCGCCAGGCAGCAGTGGAGGCAGCCAGGAACTTACACGCTCCTCTGCATCCAGGTATTTTCTTCTAGAGCTCTTAAAATTTAAGAAGAAATCAACCCAACCCTGCCCAGCCCAGAAGGAAAACATGTCTTTTGGGAYGGTGGGAGGAGACAAAACCCTTGGTGCCAATTCCAGTGCCTGGAGGTACCTGCACAGCTGGCAAGAGTCCTCCCAGCACAGGCAGAGCATCCCGACCCTCCCACAGCTGCTGAGTCACCAAGGCGAGGGCCGGCCCCATGGCAGGGGGTGGGAGGGATGCTAGAAACACTGGGGATTACTGCAAGTGTCAGGGGGGTCTCCTTACCAGAAAACCCCCAGTCCTCTCCTCCTGGGTGCACGGCTTTGAAACYGTTTTGTATCCCCCATACATCATCAGCAACCGACTCCAAAACTGCGACCCCAGAACTGAGCACCCAGGTGCGAGGAAACCTCCTTCCCCGTCTCGCATCCACCTCAAACATCCTGCAACGAGATCCGGCTTCCCTACAGGAGCATCCTGATCCCTCGGCACCGAGCAGGACCCCAGCGCTCTCCTCGCACACCACACGCGAAGGCCACGCAAGCTCAGGAGCCACTACGTGCGTTCCCGGTGAGCTCCGCGCCGGCGTGGCGACAGGAGYCGGCGCTGCGGCACGCAGAGGGGACGCCGGCCAAGCGATCCCTGCGAGAGGCTGCGGGCATGCCGCAAAAGAAGTTTATCTTGGGTCGGAGGCAGCCAAACTCGGAACAGCTTGAAGCCTAGAGGAAATCAGAGCTTCCTCCCAGGGGTCCGGGCAGGCTCAGATGGGTCTAAGAGCGATCGCTGCGACTTCTGCATCCGGACAACCTATCCTCTGCCTCTGAGGCTCGGTGGGGAAGGCTGAAAGAGGCTTTTGTTTGCAATGCAATTTGCAATCATGTTCTCCTTAGTGTTTTAACTGGCTCAGGGATCCCCTCTCTGCTCCTCTCCAAATGCACCACTTGCTCCCTGGCTTGGAGCTGGGGCTGGGCGACGATACAAGGAGGCTTCCCAAAGACAACAGATTGCGTCTTTCCCCTGCACAACATGCAAACAAACCCGGGGCCAAGGATGCAAAGCTGGAGGGAGCCTGGGGAGCGGGCGGTAATGGGACACCCCTTCAAACGGATGCCCCCTCGCAAACGGAGGTGCTCCAGGCAGGTGCCAGGCCCTGGAGGCACAAGGATGCCAGGCCAGTTTGAGGAAAATCTGCGCGGGCAGGAAGCTCGTGGGCGGCGAGGCCAAGACGGCCTCCTGCGCAGGGAGCGGGCAGCTGTGCTGCTGCGTGACCTCAGGTAGCCTGAGCACGGGCTGCTGCTTCACAAGCACCTCGAGATCCCTTGGACCAGCCCCATGGGCTCTTTCCAGCAGGAGAATCCAGCAGAAAAAGCAGTCTCGGTCAGCAGCGATGGACCGCTGTCCCTGTCGCTTAATGGGACCAGAGCTCAGAGCTGCTCGGGGTTCTGTAATGAGCATCCCATTGCCCCACATGTCTCATCCTTCCCTACACAAACAGCTATCCAGGGCCGGGATATCCCTGCTCAACTCCCCTTCCCCCTCACTTGGCCCTCACAGCCCCTCTGGGCACCCTCCCACCCCGCTGCAGAGCGAGGGGTCCCTGTGGGAAAGGCCCTGATACCTCGGAGCYGCTGCCATCACCACGCAGGGACCCCGCTGGCTCGTGTCCCGCGGCGGGACAGGACGAGCTGTGAGCGACCGGCTGGGGCTGCGCCAGCGCACCGGGACGCGCGCCTGGATGTGCCGGCGGCTGCAGGGCGGGGACGGGCCCTCTGCCAGCGAGAAACCCTCGCCCGGGCCCGAACACGAGGCTCCTGCAGCGCTGCCGACTACAATACGACATTGTGCTCGCGCCTCTAGCAGCTGGAAGCGTTACAGGAACAAATACCAGCAAGGAATGAGATATGGCACAGCTACTTCGCCCTGGAGCCGGTGCCATTATCCAAAGGCTGACTTRCTGCAAGCTCCCGACTTGCTGCAACACCCGGCGTGCACGGGAGAAAACCCACACGCAGCCCCTCTCCAAACCAGAGCCCTTTAGGCCACAGCACCCAGAGCCTCGTGGAAAGCCGCACAGCCCAAACACACCAGTCGCAGCAGTCCCCACGGCTGCCAGCACCCGTCCCAGACCACACAGGACACCTCCAGCGCCTCCAGGCTGGACCTTGTTGCAGCCCGCGCCAACCTGAGGGGTTCCTGGAAGCTGCAGGGCTTTTCGGCAGAGGGAGCRTGGCCGTGGCAGTGGGGTGACCAGAGCTGGCACCAGGAGAAGGCAAAGCCCTCGAGCAGGAGGCACACGCGCGGGATGCGGAGCGGCTCTGCAGGGATGTCTCCAGCCAATATGCCTGGTGCAGGTGCCGAACACATCCTTCCGCCTTTGGCTAAAGCTCCTCACTGKTATTCCCCTGCAGGCACCTGGGAACTAAGCACTCACTTGAGCCATCAGTGAATGCTCCCCAGGGATGGTTCCTGGCTCAGAGCTGCGGTCCTTGGAAGGCACTCTGGAGAGGACAGCACCTTGGCCAGACCCCAATACCTGCTGTCCTGCTGCTCCACATCCCTCTCCCTTCACCCCAAGCATTTCAGCACCACCAGGAGGGCAGAGGGACCCACACGAGCTGTAGATCCTTCTCAACTCAAGCCACTCCGGTCCACCATCGCACCCCAAATCCCCCAGCCCCACACAGCAAAGCGCACTACAGCCCCACATTGCTGCCCTGTCCCGTTTCCTCGGGACATCAAACGGCCGCCAAGCCTCCATGGGACTTTTGGCTCCTCTGTTGCCGACTGTCTGGGAACTCCGGGCGAGCGTTTCGGTGACCCCCTCGCACGCCCGTGAGGGACTGCCGGCAAACAGTGCTGCTTTAACGAGCAGGGTGGCGGGGTCAGGGCCCGRGGGAGCCATCCTCCCTGCATGTGTGCATCCCTTGTCTGCTGCTCCCGGCTAATCACCTCTCGGAGGGCAGCGGGTGCCTTTCAAGGCAGCCTCGAGGCCATCTGAGCTTGGCAACCCCAGGATTCCAGCCAGCAGGACGAGGGTCTGGTGTGGGAACACAGCCTCATTCAGCAGCTCCTCTCAGCACGGCAGCGTTGGGACGTCGGGAGGGAGAAATGCGCAGGGGGAACAGCAGGGGGAACAGCAGGGGGACGGCACAGCAACCTGCCTCCCCAAAATGTTAGAGGGCTGTGCTAAATCCATTAAATAAGGAAGTTAAAGGCTCCTCTGAACATGGTGGCTTGTCCAGTTACGCACCGCTCAGAGCTGGGCTACCATGGCCAGCAGCAGCCAGGAGTCAGTGTGCTGGGTGTTAACCCAGAAGTCCTGGGAGAACAAAACCCACCACTTCTGGTGGAAAATGAAGGTACTACCTAGCACCCCAATGCCATTCCCGCCCTATTTCCCCAACATTTCCCAGTTCTGCTTTCTTCACGATCTTCATTTCTGCTCTGCAACAGCACCTTCCATTGCTCTGAAGAGCATCCATAGCCTGTCTTCCCCTTTATCTTCTCCCCTGTGCAGCAAGTTTGCCTGTGTGTTGAAAGGGTCAAAACCACCCAACAACAAAAGTTGGGCACAAAACGCCTCTCCTCCCTTCCAAACAGAGGGGATCAAACATTAGCCGCAAGTAAATCATTAACCCCGAGGCAAAGGTGCTTGGGCAGCTCGGGAAGAGAAGAGCAAGCACGTGCATGTGCATGCAGGGTCACAGCCCCCATCCCAGCCCGCAGGGGAGTGACACCCAGGCACTTCCTTCAGTGCCTGCTGAAAGGTCACCTTGAGGCATCCCCAACGCTATGGTTGCTCTGTGGTCAGCACGAGCCAGCTCCCATCGCTGAACTGGTCCGGTAGGCATAGAGAGGAGCGTGGCACGTCCCAGAGGAAGGGGAACAGAACCCAAGCTTGGCTGCAGGGAGGCTAGAGCTGTCTTTAGCTGCATGCCCATTGGGAACCTCACTGGAGCCAACCAAGCCCAGCTCTGCCAACRCCTGCCTTCCAAGGTGAAAGGAGACTTGATAAACTATGAACTTCTGCTCTCCTGATCCTAGGACCCCCAGACAGTCAATAGCTCAAGTCAGGACTATATCACTGTGATGGGCAATGCTGTCTGCAAACTGGCCCTGGACACAGGCATGGTCAGAAACCTGCCACGTGTGCTCAAGGGGCACCTCATCATGGCCATGGGGACGTTGCCTCTTAGTCTGGCCACTGAATCTCACAGGAACTACAAGAGCCCAAGGACAGGACAGGGATGCTCAGCCTTGGAGAGGGAGCCAAAAACCAACAGCAGTTGCTACRTGGAAGAGATGACGCTGGATGGACAGGGATTTGGACAGAGGTCTCAGCAGCTTCACACAGCGACAAGGGAAAAGAATCCCTTGTTGCTTTCCAGCCAGCACAGCCTACCTGGCAGCACCGCAGCGCCCGAATTGCAGGGTGGTTTTCCCCCAAATCAGGGTGAGTTGCCCTGTCTCACCATGCCCATGCACCCAGCCTACCACTGCCTGAAGCAAACGGGTGARTCTGCATCAAAGCTGCATCGTGGGGAGGGGACACCCTCAGCCCACCCCACGCAAACAGTGCACATCAATGCTGCCTACAATGTCCCAAGCAGGGATGAGCAAAGGGACTCATCCAAAGGCTAAAGCATCTCCCAGATCTTAGCCTGCTGGCTGGCACTGAAGGGACAGGTACCTGCCATATCACGAGCTCCAACCTGCACCCAGGAAAGCACACCAAAGGACATATACCCCCAAACACCCTGAACACACAGGGTGCCTTACCTGCTGGGGCTTGGGGAGGGGGAGACACACAAAGGAACAGAGATCACCCAGCCACATTACCTGCAGAAACATTAATAAAGACACAAGAATACCCTCCGTCCTCCGCAGGGAGCAAGTCACACGGGAGAGGCAGGTGCCCAGCGGCCAAGTGCATCCAGCAAAGGTCTCTCACGGCCTCGCAGAAGCCCTGGCACGGCGGGGGGGTTATGGGGACAGAAGCGTTACACCCAGGGACCAGGAGCAAGCAGAGAAACCATTCCAAGTAGCGGTGACACCGGGATTTAAGCAGCCCCTCCCACTCATGCAAAGCATCCCGAATTTCCACCTCGCTGCTGTGGCCGAGGTAATTTGGCAATCGGAAATGCTTGGTGCCCAAAACGGTACAGGAGGGCAGGCGGGCTGGGAAGGGCAGGCAGCGACCAGCCTCCGGCGTCAGTCCGGGAAAGAAGGAAGCAAACCCAGCACCGCTACTACTATAAAGTYGCAGAGTGGAGGTTAGTAAATCAAACTCGAGAGGATCAGAGTTATCGGCAGGAGGAAAGTCCACGTCATTAGTCGCATTCCCGTTAGGAGCAGAAGGCCTCCGGGTCCCGTTAACACCGGTTAGCGCCAGCCCCCAGCGGCCGGCAGGTTGTCCAGTGCCTTGCAAGAGTTGGCTGCTGCTGCTGGTGCTACGTGTCGGGCTCYGGTCCCCTGGCAGGGTGGCACCTGGAGCAGCACGGGGCGGCCCATCTGGCGTGCCGGTGCCAGGGGACAGCTCCGGGCGGTGTGCAGCGCGTGGCGTGGCCGATGCTCCGTGTGGGGCCCGCGGAGGCGCTACGCGGGCCGGCTGTGCTTTGGGGCTGCCCGAGCCCTCTCCCGAGGAGGGCTCCTGAGGAGGTGCCACCTGCTCGCGAGCACCGTCACCTGGTGGGAAAGGGAAAGGAGCACTACCTGGACGGGGTGCCATCGGCCTCTGCAAAGACACCCGAGTCCCGCTCCGCTCGCCTAGCGGCGATGTGGGCTCGGGGAGCACCAGCTCTGGTCCCGTCGTTGCTGGGGGGGTTTCGGTGGAGTTGCTGGTCACATCCTGCCCGTGCTCGGGTGCTATGCTGGGAGGTGCGGCGGTTGAAGTGATGCCTGTCAGTGGTGGTGCCGTGCTCTCCGGTGTCCYGGTGACACTGCCGTCCCCCGGCTCACGACCGCCACGGGTGCCTTCAGCTGCGTGCAGGAGCTCCACGCTGGACACGCTCTCATTCCTTGCAGGCACCGTCGTGCCGGACACGCTCTCGCTGCCCATGGGTGCTGCTGTGCCGGACACGCTCTCATTCCCATCAGGTACCGTCGTGCCGGACACGCTCTCACTGCCCACGGGCACTGCCGTGCCGGACACACTCTCATTCCCGTCGGACACCGCTGTGCCAGACAYGCTCTCATTCCCATCAGTTACTGCCGTGCTGGACATGCTCTCATTCCCATCAGTTACCGCCGTGCTGGACATGCTCTCATTCCCATCAGTTACTGCCGTGCCGGACACGCTCTCACTGCCCGTGGGTGCTGCTGTGCCGGACACACTCTCGTTCCCGTCAGGTACTGTTGTTCCGGACACACTCTCATTCCCGTCGGGCACCGCTGTGCCAGATATGCTCTCGCTGCCTGTGGACACTGCCGTGCTGGACACGCTCTCACTGCCCGTGGGCACCGCTGTGCCAGCACCCAGATCCTTGCCCAGCAGGCTGGCGACGTCCCCCGAGCTCTCCTCGTCCTGCGCCACCATCCACGGGGATCCGCTTGGCCGGGGAGCTGCCGGAGTGGAGAGTGGCCTGGCTGTCGGCTCGGACGCAGCGGTTCTCCCTGCAGAGGCTAGCGGTGTCCTGGAGGGCTTGGAGCCACCCCAGAACCAGTTCAGGAGCTGCGCTTCGCAGGAGCAGCCACAAGCCAGAAAAAGCAGAAAGCCCAGGCAGCGCGAGGCCGGAGCCATTCGGAGGAGAGGAAAACAGAGGGAACTGGGGAGGGGGGGAAAAAAAAAGGAAAAAAAAGAAAAGAAAAGAAAAAGGGCCAAACAGGAGTTTTGCCCCACACGGACGCCCGGCGCTCACATCGGTCTCTGCTCCCTGGCTCTCCCGCACAGTCCCTCACACGGAGCAGCGGGGAGGAGTGGCTCCRCAGCCGGCTGGGTCGGGCCCTGCTCTCCCAACGCCGCCTCCCAACGCCCGACACCTCGGCACAGGCACATCCCCCGGGTGGGTGACACAGGGTCTGCGGCCAGGGACCCACGGGAGCCCCTCCACGGGTCTCCCAGCCAAGCCAGCCCCTGCACTCCCTCCTCCTCCTCCCTGCGCCCTGCCGCACCAGCCAGCAGCTGCTTTTAACTCCTTCCTACCCAAAACCCATCCCGGAGACGACCTTTCCCCCCGTTGCAGCTCTAGCCATTGATCAGGCCGACCCACGCACACAAGGGGTCACGGGCTGCTTGCGCACACGGTTCCTGTCCCCTTGCCCAGCTCGGAGCAGCCCGCAGAAACCTGCTCCCCTGCGCACAGCGGCTCCGGCCTTCTCGGAGGTCAGGCCCAGCTTCCCCGACGGCCAAGGAGCCTCCAGCTGCGGCCGTCCACGCTCCCCGCCGGCTCCTGTCCTCATCTGACATTCCCTCTCTAGGAGGAGCCCCGCCAGGAAGCCCTCTGGCCGCCAGCGCTCTGGCTTCCCCTCCAAAAATCTCGCACCGTGGGATTTTCTTGGGAGACCTGCTGCGGGAACAGTCACGCGGTCACCCCAACAGGGCTCCACGGGTCCCACCACCATTTGGCTCCGACCCCTTTCTCTCCCAAACCCTGCGGCTCCAGCGTGACTGCGCAGAGGGACCTGCTGGGCAGATGTGCTTCAGATCTGCTTCAGATCTGCTTGGCAGCGCTGCCCCCAAGCTCGGGGCTAACCCACGTGGGTTACAATTGCAGGGTGGCATCACAAGAAGAGAAACACCCCAGAAAACCCCTCCAAGATTTCTGCTGTTGGGAAACACAGCAAGTCTCAAGAGCTTTTGAGAGGCTTTCCCAGTTCCGCTACAGATCCAGGACCGCACAGATGTTACCAAGCAAGCCAAGAGCTGGTGGGGAGCGCAGGTGAACCTCCCTGGATCACATCCCGCTCCAGATGCGTTTGTGAGCTGGGACCTGGGTGTTTTACCCATTAGTGCTCAAAAACCACTGCATTTGACTGACACCAGCTCTGAAAATCCCTGCTGAGCAGCTCGGCATTGGCTTTTTCCCCGCTGAGAGGAAAGGCGCCAAGCCCGCTGCTCTGCTCGCTGATCTGCCAGCCCCGGGGGAGCAAGCTGACTGAAGGCAACCACAGGCTTTTCTGACCTCTCCGGCCAGCGTGTGCCAACAGCCAAGCCCCTTGGCTCTCCCYGTCTCACAAGGCCGTCCACAGGATCCCACCGAGTCACCCAACCCACGTGCACTGGCCAGGAGAACATCAGTGATGGCTCCAGCTGCAGCTTCCCTGCCTGGACAAGGCACACTGGTGACTCAGGCACTATCCAGACCACATGCTAAAAGGCTGGAGATGAGGAGCCTCAAGGGAGGCTGCACTCTCAGGTTTCCTCCATCCCCATAGTTGCCTGCCTGGGAAAGCCAGGGTCTGRGGTAGACCCCCTGCTCTGCGTTTCCACTGCCAGCACATTGCAGGAAGGGATTTTGCTCTTCCTCTTCTCTACTTTTAAAGAATAAACGGAAACAAAACAGAATCAAAAGTAYAATGCAGCTCACTATCACTTAAAATAACAAAAAGCAGCAAGAAATATTCAGGAGAAGAATGAATAATAAAAAAAAAAAAAGACAGCTTTTAGCTACATAAAATATTTTCCATCCTATTTTTTTTAAGCATGACATGGGCATTTCAATTAAAATAGTAGTCGGCATGGCAATGATGCTGTGCCAGCTCATTTGCCCCAAAACCAATGTTATTACAAGGGCATTTGGCGGAACAGATCTCCCCCAATCACGAAGCAGGCTCCTGCTAATCTAATAGGGGACGCATTTTTGTCCCTATGGCAAAGTTTCCATATGGAAAGGAGAGAGCTGCACAAAGCGTGAGAAAGTCCAAGGCCCGAAGCTTCTTTCCTGACACCCAGACCAGAAGAAAACCTCTTTCTTCTTAAGAACAGCTCCCAGGTGACACAATGCCATTGAGGAATTGCTTGTGGACAACACACAGGCTTCCTCCTCCCACCCCCGTGCACCAGGCCGGCCCCACCATGCGGGCAGCAGCTCTGCAGAGCCAGGTGCTGCGTGTTGCTTCACGGACCTGCCTCCTCCTGTTGGGACAGGCCTCCCGCTCCGCTCTCCACCCCGGACACCAGGCTGCTCTTCCCGGTGCACGCCGCTCCTCCGTAACCCCATCCGTGCCAGGCATCGCCAGGCAACCTGTCCGCACGGGACTCTGCTGCCTTCCCCCTGCCAAAGGAGGGACACCAGGACCAGAAGGTGCCTCACAACTGCCCAAGGACGTGTTCTGGATGRTTTCTCCTTGCAGCCAATCGCTTGYAACATGGAAAATGTTGAGGTGAAAACACTGACAAAAATCCTTCACCTGAAACCTGAAGCCTYGTCAAAAGAGCAGATCCTCTTTGTCCCTAAGCAAGTCGTGGCCAAGGACATGGGCCAAAAGAGCTGGGAGGTACCATGAAACCCGCTCTGCCGAGGAGCACTGCAGAAGCATGGCTGCCCCATGGGGTGTGTGATGTCCAATCAAGCACTGCAGGATTGCTGGGGTGCTTCTCCGTGACAGTCATCACCTCAGATGTCACCAGCCACTATGGCCTGACCAGGAAGCTAGGCAGGCAGAGCACAGTGATGGGGACAGCATTTGACAGACTTGTTCCCAGGCCATCTGGATGGATGGAGAGCAAAGCTTTTTTCCCCTGGACAGAACCCAAATTGATTCCTCATGCTAGTGAGTCAGGGCGACCTGTGGCCGCCGCTGCSCCAAGCGCTCACAGCTGGGTGGTTTTGCAGAGCCCAGTCATGCAAGTTAAAGGAGATCTCCAGCTGTTGCTGGATGAGAGCCTTAGAAAGAGCAAGGCACCTCAAGCAGCTCGAGGCTGATGGGCAGAGCTCTCAAGCACATCCCCACGAGCACATCTGTGACTCACCGAGCTCCACAGGCACCACAGCGAGGACGGGGAGACTTCCCACCCCCAGCACCACCATGGGGCTCGCAGAAGCGAGGACGACCACATTTCAACGTGGTTGAGATGCTCTTGCCTTACCTCACCACAGGCAGATGGACAGGGGAGCAAA